AAAAAAGGTCTTCCTCTACTCGGATCTGGGTGTCAATTTTTTTCTACACTTTTCGGTGTATTTTGTGTAAGAAATTGCAATAAAATAGTCCGCCTAAGAAAAATTGAATTTTTTTGGCAACTTTTTTATGGTTTTGGATGCATTTTTGGTGGTAATAGGTGTCTTCCTCTACTCGGATCTGGCTGTCAATTTTTTTCTACACTTTTAGGTGTATTTTGTGCAAGAATATGCAATAAAATCGTCTGCCTAAGAAAAATTGAATTTTTTTGGCAACTTTTTTATGGTTTTGGGTGATTTTTGGTCATAAAAAAGGTCTTCCTCTACTCGGATCTGGGTGTAAATTTTTTTCTACACTTTTCGGTGTATTTTGTGCAAGAAATTGCAATAAAATAGTCTGCCTAAGAAAAATTGAATTTTTTTGGGAACTTTTTTATGATTTTGGGTGATTTTTGGTCATAAAAAAGGTCTTCCTCTACTCGGATCTGGGTGTCAATTTTTTTCTACACTTTTCGGTGTATTTTGTGTAAGAAATTGCAATAAAATAGTCTGCCTAAGAAAAATTGAATTTTTTTGGCAACTTTTTTATGGTTTTGGGTGATTTTTGGTCATAAAAAAGGTCTTCCTCTACTCGGATCTGGGTGTCAATTTTTTTCTACACTTTTCGGTGTATTTTGTACAAGAATATGCAATAAAATAGTCTGCCTAAGAAAAATTGAATTTTTTTGGGAACTCTTTTATGATTTTGGGTGATTTTTGGTCATAAAAAAGGTCTTCCTCTACTCGGATCTGGGTGTCAATTTTTTTCTACACTTTTCAGTGTATTTTGTACAAGAATATGCAATAAAATAGTCTGCCTAAGAAAAATTGAATTTTTTTGGGAACTCTTTTATGATTTTGGGTGATTTTTGGTCATAAAAAAGGTCTTCCTCTACTCGGATCTGGGTGTAAATTTTTTTCTACACTTTTCGGTGTATTTTGTGCAAGAAATTGCAATAAAATAGTCTGCCTAAGAAAAATTGAATTTTTTTGGGAACTTTTTTATGATTTTGGGTGATTTTTGGTCATAAAAAAGGTCTTCCTCTACTCGGATCTGGGTGTCAATTTTTTTCTACACTTTTCGGTGTATTTTGTGTAAGAAATTGCAATAAAATAGTCTGCCTAAGAAAAATTGAATTTTTTTGGGAACTTTTTTATGATTTTGGGTGATTTTTGGTCATAAAAAAGGTCTTCCTCTACTCGGATCTGGGTGTCAATTTTTTTCTACACTTTTCGGTGTATTTTGTACAAGAATATGCAATAAAATAGTCTGCCTAAGAAAAATTGAATTTTTTTGGGAACTCTTTTATGATTTTGGGTGATTTTTGGTCATAAAAAAGGTCTTCCTCTACTCGGATCTGGGTGTCAATTTTTTTCTACACTTTTCAGTGTATTTTGTACAAGAATATGCAATAAAATAGTCTGCCTAAGAAAAATTGAATTTTTTTGGGAACTCTTTTATGATTTTGGGTGATTTTTGGTCATAAAAAAGGTCTTCCTCTACTCGGATCTGGGTGTAAATTTTTTTCTACACTTTTCGGTGTATTTTGTACAAGAATATGCAATAAAATAGTCTGCCTAAGAAAAATTGAATTTTTTTGGGAACTCTTTTATGATTTTGGGTGATTTTTGGTCATAAAAAAGGTCTTCCTCTACTCGGATCTGGGTGTAAATTTTTTTCTACACTTTTCGGTGTATTTTGTGCAAGAAATTGCAATAAAATAGTCTGCCTAAGAAAAATTGAATTTTTTTGGGAACTTTTTTATGATTTTGGGTGATTTTTGGTCATAAAAAAGGTCTTCCTCTACTCGGATCTGGGTGTCAATTTTTTTCTACACTTTTCGGTGTATTTTGTGTAAGAAATTGCAATAAAATAGTCTGCCTAAGAAAAATTGAATTTTTTTGGCAACTTTTTTATGGTTTTGGGTGATTTTTGGTCATAAAAAAGGTCTTCCTCTACTCGGATCTGGGTGTCAATTTTTTTCTACACTTTTCGGTGTATTTTGTACAAGAATATGCAATAAAATAGTCTGCCTAAGAAAAATTGAATTTTTTTGGGAACTCTTTTATGATTTTGGGTGATTTTTGGTCATAAAAAAGGTCTTCCTCTACTCGGATCTGGGTGTCAATTTTTTTCTACACTTTTCAGTGTATTTTGTACAAGAATATGCAATAAAATAGTCTGCCTAAGAAAAATTGAATTTTTTTGGGAACTCTTTTATGATTTTGGGTGATTTTTGGTCATAAAAAAGGTCTTCCTCTACTCGGATCTGGGTGTAAATTTTTTTCTACACTTTTCGGTGTATTTTGTACAAGAATATGCAATAAAATAGTCTGCCTAAGAAAAATTGAATTTTTTTGGGAACTCTTTTATGATTTTGGGTGATTTTTGGTCATAAAAAAGGTCTTCCTCTACTCGGATCTGGGTGTAAATTTTTTTCTACACTTTTCGGTGTATTTTGTGCAAGAAATTGCAATAAAATAGTCTGCCTAAGAAAAATTGAATTTTTTTGGGAACTTTTTTATGATTTTGGGTGATTTTTGGTCATAAAAAAGGTCTTCCTCTACTCGGATCTGGGTGTCAATTTTTTTCTACACTTTTCGGTGTATTTTGTGTAAGAAATTGCAATAAAATAGTCTGCCTAAGAAAAATTGAATTTTTTTGGCAACTTTTTTATGGTTTTGGATGCATTTTTGGTGGTAATAGGTGTCTTCCTCTACTCGGATCTGGCTGTCAATTTTTTTCTACACTTTTAGGTGTATTTTGTGCAAGAATTTGCAATGAAATTGTCTGCCTAAGAAAAATTGAATTATTTTTGAAAAATAATGTAGGAGCTTTTGTATTGAATTTGGGGTTGAACTTAATTTTTTTTTGTTAATAATAATGTTTTTTGTAATTTTATGTCATGATTTTACAGTATCTTGGTTTTTAAATTTTTGATGATCGTAAGCGATGTGAACTTTACCAACCTTTTTACAATATATAAAATAAAATACAGTCGTTAAATAAATAATTTTTAATTATTATAAAATTGTATTATATTATATATTTTTTATTATATTCATAATACATTTATTACATATAATAATTTACTACTTTTTTTAAAAAATTATTTTTGTAATATATATTGAAGATTTTTATATATGACATGTTTTATATATATATAGCGGAAATGAGTTTCTGCTTTAACCTCAACTCGAAGGTGTTTTACTTTTAATTAAAGATTCAAAACTGGACACGGAAGATGAAGAGTGTGTCACGTATACGTCAATTGTGTATATACATATATATTTAGTACAAAGAAAAGACACATACTCGATATTGTTGTAAGATGTATTTTGTAAAGCGTTTTTTTTATTTCCTGTTTGCACGAGAAAATATTAAACAAATAAAATATTTATTTATAAAGTACACATTGAGCTGTGTATTTATATGTAAATTTTTAGAAATTTAATTAATATAATTAAAATTGACTCGTGGCAATAAATGAGAAATTTTGAAATTATAAATATAAAACAAAGGTCATTTAATCTATATATTAAAATAAAATAGTATTATAAATAATAATATAATAATAAAGTATAATATATATAATATATAATAATAAAAAATTACGAATATTTATAATATATTATTAAGATATTTTCGAAATTACAATAGTAAACAAAATAAGTTAAAAATAACTTTCTAATATATATATACTCTATTTTCAATTTGTTTATTGTTTTCAACAAAATTCCTTTAGTTGCAAATCTTTCAGTAAAACATTTTTGTATCTAGGGTAACTGCATATTCTATTTTAGTATATACATATATACATTGTGATGTCATTAATATGTATATATCAAAAATAGTCAAATATATTTGACTATTAATTTTGACTATATCGTAAGATACTTAAAATTTCAATTTTTTTTTCACGTTTTTTGACAACATTTCCTTCATGAATAAATTTCCAATTGAATTTTAAATGAAGTATTTATATAAAATAAATTTTTTTTACGGACGTAATGTGTGTGGATAGAATATATTTTTAGAAAAATATTTAAATAAATGTAAAGAGTATATATATATATATATATATATATATATAGGTATTTTATTTATTTAAGATTTTTATGAAAAATTGAGTCATTGAAAAGTAATTTTTTCTGAAAAAAATAAATATGAAAAAAAATAAATATAAATAAATAATAAAAGGAAATAAATAAATTTTTTTAAGGAAAATGTAAAAATTGTCATGAAATTTGTGTGCAATATGCGCGCAATTTTTTATAAATCTTATTTAATGTAATCGAGTGGAAGAGTGCAGTTTTATTAAAGCTGCTTCGATTTACCAAATGGTAAACCCAAGACACGATTGCCTTCGGGTCGATATATAGGAGCTAGAGAGAGGATGTATTTCCATTTTAAAATCAGTCGTTAAAATGAATGAGAATTCGAAACGTTTCAGAGAGAGAGAGAGAGAAATTTAGGGAGACAGCGAATGAGAGAGATCCACTAATTCCAATTTTGCATATAACATGTTTCAAAATTAAAAAATTTTTATTTATATATTTTTTTTATTCTCTAGGGAGAATCGAACCCCTCATTATATAATAATAATTATATCATGGTAATTTATTATCATTTTTAAAAAATTATTCTTTATTAATTATAATATTTTATTCTATATATATAATATATTTCATATAAAATAAAATTATTATCGAAAATTATTTACTTAATTGTCTGTAATTTTTTTTTTCTACAATTTTTATTTAAACAATAGTCCAATGCAAATAAAAGAATATTCTTTGATAAGACACACAATTACAATAAAAAATAAAAAAAAAAAAACTTTGATAATTTCTATGACTCAATTATCATTACATTCATGAAAATAATTTTTTTCTTTTTAAGTATTGTAAAATTATATAATGTGGAAATTTAATAAAACTTTTGTTTCTTTTTTTTGTTACAGGTATGATTTTGTGTGGATACGTCATGTTAAAAATAAATCCTGCCATTTCCAGAATTTTCATTATTTCTGTGAGTAATTTCTTTGTTACATATATTTTACATAAATTATTTTATTTTTCATATCGAAAAAAATTTAGTTAATCGTTAATTTCTACATAAATGGAGATTAATAATAATATAATTATTCTTAATTAATTAATAATAATAATAATAATAATAATATTAATAATAATAATATTAATTAATAATAGTAATTAATAATAATAATAGTAATAATAGTAAAATATATTTTTAAAAAAATAAAAAAATAGTAATAATAAATAGTAACAATAGTAAAACAAATTAATAATAATAATAATGAGAAATAATAATAATTAATAATTTCAAATATTTCTCTAAAAATTTTTTTGATAAATTTGTATAAAATAGAATTTTTTTTAGAATATGATTAAACACGTTTGGTACTTATATTATCGGGAAAAAAAAAATTTTTTTCTATCGTAAAATGATTATATTGGAATTAAATATACGTAGAAAATGACTAAGTAGGAAATTAGTCGTTTTTAGAAAATAATAGTATCTATATATACAAAAACAAACTTCCTGGCTATATATATATATATAAAGAAAAGGAAAAGTCGCAGCGAAGGTGACATTTTTTTTTTTTTTTTTTTTTTCGAAAAGAACAAATATCGTAAATACAGAGCTAGGGTATATTTACACACACACACACACACACTACTTCGTGATTGGCACACATAGAAAAAAAAAGATCAAATATATAGGGGTCGTGTAAATAGTGCAATTTTATAAACTCTGCTACGTGATAACGTTAAATTTTACATGACGCTTAAAACATATATATAATATCATAATACACTGTTATTTCAATTTTGAAAATTATTTTTTTTTAAATGAGTCAGAAATATTCATATAAAATAAAAAAATATTTCAGTGAATAATTACAATGAAAATGATAATACTGAATATAATTATATATGAGTCATTTATAATTTCGTGTCTTTTTTGTCCAGAATTGAAATAAATTTTATTTTAACACATATTCTCATTTATTTTTTTAAATTAATTATTTAAAATCGAATATAATTTTCTGAATAATATCTATAATTATTAAATTAATTTTCAATATTAGCGGAATTAAATTAAGCTTATACAAAGTACAATAGCGGTTCTATTTTTGTATATACATATATGTCTGCCTGTCTCTAATATATTTTGTGCTGAAATCACGAAATCGCCATTTTTCTCCGTCTCTCTGAACTCTGATTAAAATTCATGCAACACGTTGGAAAGTCACACACACACACACATACACGCAACACAAAAGATAAGAAAGATTTGAATGTAAAGAGAATTTAGTTGAAAAAAAAAAAATAGAAAAGGAAAATTTGCTTTAATGTTTATTCTTTTTTTTTATTTAACAGACTTTTTTTAAATTCTTTAGCTCACTAAAAACTTTTTAATAGAATTTTAATTTATATATATAAATTTTGGGGTAATTACTCTCTAAATCTGAATTAGTGAAAATTTTTACTAATTTGAATTAGTGACTCACTTTTTGCTATTGAATTAGTTAAATTTCACTAATTATTAGTCAAAGTTACTAATAATTAGTAAAATTTTACTAATTCAATAGCAAAAAGTGAGTCACTAATTCAAATTAGTTAAAATTTTTACTAATTCAAATTTAATTTATAAATTAAATTTTAATGGAAAAAAATCTTTACCTTGAACAGCGATATATTTCTCTAGAATAGGGAAAATTTTCCCTGTCTTAAAGAGAATATACACGAAAAGAAAATAAATATCAAACTTTATAAAAGCATTTTCAAATTTTATAAAAGTATTTTCAAGTCGTGAAAAATATTGTAAAATGCGAAATTTCCATAAAAAAAATATTAATCTTTAATAAACTTTTATGAAATTTACTATAGTTGTAATAAAATTTGGTAGAACGTATTTGATTCATTACCAAATTTTATTATAACTATATAGTAAATTTCATAAAAGTTTATTAAATATTAGTATTTTTTATACGGAAATTTCGCATTTTACAATATTTTCCACAACTTGAAAATACTTTTATAAAATTTGAAAATGCTTTTATAAAATTTGCTATTTATTTTCTTTCCGTGTATCGATGTTTCAGTGAAATTTATCGCTGTTTCAGGTGAAGATTTTTTTTTTATTAAATTTTTTTTTGTTGTAAAAAAAATTTGTTTTTTTTGTGACAATTTCTACTTTTAGTTCTCTTTTTTTTTCTTTCTTTCTTTTATACCTCAAACCTCCTGCATTTGAATGTCTAATGTGAAATTTATCCTCGAAAACTCATCCGGCCAGACATTAACTATTTTCGTGTTCGGGGGCACATGGCGCGCGGTAACGAACGATACATTTTCATGGTACAAGGATATCCGTCTAAAGTATATGGTATCCTTGTTTGTGTCGCATTTGTCCCTCTTTGTTATATATATTATATATGTTGAATTCAAAAAGCATTCTCTTATAAATGTATATGTGTACTTATTTTTTTTTTTCATTCTTTTGTAAAACTCATTTTTATTCTCGTTCTCATTGTCCGTTTTTTTATACATATCGCAATTTCATATATAATGAATGTTTCATAATTATTAAAAATAAAAAAATAGATGCGCATATGAAGAAATTCAGTTTGAAATGTAAAACAATTTTTTCCGAATATTTTTGAATAAATAATTTCATTGTATTTGGTAATTATATATTTTTTTAAAAAAATTTTTTGGTATATTTTTTGGTAATTTGGTTATTTTTTAATTTGGGTAATTATACTTTTTAAAAAATTTGGTTGAAAAATAAAATTTATTTGATTCACAAAAAATTGGTTTCTTGACTATTAGGAAATAAATATTTTTTTGTATCAAATAATTATTAGTTTTATCCAATTAAATCGTATTTATTTCAAATACAGAAGTTATTAGTATTCAAATGTGACGCTCTCTGAAGATAAGGCCAAGGGACCTTACAAGTAAACGAATTATAGGTTATGTTTACGATAATTTTACCTTGATTAAAAGTTTCTTTTTATTTATATATATATAAAATAAAAATCAGTCTTTATTGAATAGTTTGGATTTAAATATCAATAATTTGTATTGAAAATTTATCCTCTTTGTGTATTTTCGAAATTTTAAAACATAACCTATAAATTTTTGCTTCTAAGGTCTCTTTCTTCAGAGTGCGTCAAAATTTATTTAATTCAAATAAAAATTATTTGATTCAAGTATTTATTTGATAATAGTCAAGTAATTGAGTATTTAAATCAAATAAATTTTTTTTTTCTGTAGAAATATTAATAAATATTTGAATAAGTAACTGACTTTTTGCCATCAAATTAGTGAGATATTTTTAACTAACTCAAATTTAGAGAGAGAGAGTTCATTAGAAGTACGAGGAGGATATAAAATGAGTATTAGTAAAGACGGTAAAGGTACTCAGCGCCTTTCAAGTTTTATGTTTGGCCACGGGGGACAAAGACCGCGATGGTGGGCGTCTGTCAGTCGTTTATACGGTACGTTCTTCATCTGCGCGACTCTCCCATTTCCTACAATTTCTTTATATATATATATATAATCTGTTGAACAGTATTTTCTTTATAAAATGTATTCTCTCTGGCCTTCTGTTAAATATAGTCTCTTTTCTTTAAAATATTATAGTTTCTGAACAAAAAAAAAAAAAAATTATTTTTTTTTTTCAAGACATCAAAGACTCATTCATTCACATTCAAATGTACTTTCTTTATACAATCGCTCACTAATGATTTAAACTTTTAACTTATTTCTCATGTATGTAAAAAGAAAAGGTCGAGAGAATTTTTTACTTATTGTTATTAGCGACGACTTTTCTGCATTGACGATATATATATATTTCTCTCTCTTTCACATACACAGAAAATATATAACCATTAGCAGAGAAAGTTGATTATCTTTTTTTATCATCTCAAAGTTAAAAGAGGTCGAGAAATATTGATGATTTTTGTACATTTAGCTCGTATTTTGTAACAGAAAACAATTTTTTGCTTAACGTGACGCATTTATTGGTGCTTTTTTTTTTGCTTTAATTTAATTGAAAAATAACTGAAAAAAATAGTTTAATGACTAATATAAAATTAGTTAACAGAAATTTTAGTTTAACACCTAAAAGTTAATTAAACTGCACTGAAAAAAAAATTTATTTGATTCAAATACCGGTGTATTTGGTTATTATCAAATAAATATTTACTTGAATCAAATATTTCTTATTTGAATCAAATAAATGGTATTTGCTTCAAATACTGAAATATTTGATTCAAATACTATATATTTGATTCAAATAAGAAATATTTGATTCAAGTAAATATTTATTTGATAATAACCAAATACACCGGTATTTGAATCAAATAAATTTTTTTTCAGTGTAATTTAAATTTATAGAGTTAGTTGATTCAAAGAATGTTTGTTTCCAGTTATGTTTATATTATAAAAATTTATATAATTAATTCTCATAAAAATAATTTGAAAAAATAATAAAGATTTATTTTTTCCACTAAACAAAATTAAATGTCAAATAGCTCGCAAAAAGTGAATACAAAAATTAGAATACATCAGTTTAAATCATATAGGCACATATTTATTTCTTCATTATTGGGTTTTTTCCTCTTTATTATAATTTTTTTCTCTCACATTATTTTATATAACATTCGGTGACATTGAAATCATATATGAAAAAAGTCGAAATTAAAATAAAAATATTTATATTTCATTATATGGAAAAAAAATTATACTAAAATAAGTGTTGTAAAATCGATTATGAAAAAATAGGATATAATTTCGTTGCAGTTCACTTTCGAAATAAATAAAATACACTATTGAAATTACTTTATCACGATGATCATACTGGAAAAGTGAGAATACGATCTCTCATTTAAGAAAGTCTCGTTTCGTGACCTTTTGAAATCATCTTATATTGATTCTAAAAAAAAAATTCTTAACATCTTGATATTGTATTCTATTTGAATAATGAAAATTCAAATC